GGCCTTCCATCAATTATAGTGATGAAAAAATGACTCGCCATCTCCTAATTGGATGTGCCTTTAGAGAGAAATGCAGGGATTACATAATGAAAGAGTTTCTATTTTCGATTTGAATTATTTCGTTTTAAATTAAAGACATTTTTTATCATGTCTGTGAGGCAATTCGCGGAGTTTAGGTTCATCATTGTGAAGCGCTCCTGTTCAAGACCGAGACGGCAGAAAGCGTTTGTTTTCTTTATTTTATAAAAGCACAACGTTTTGTTGATATTGTGAGTGCACGCAAATAAAACTAGGCCCTTTACAGTTACGAATGATGTATTACTCTTACCTTTATGAGCAAAAATGACGGCGTTTTAAGTTGTTTCCACTGTTAGAAAAAAAAGCAAGTGATCGCGCTGGCGCCTCCATGTGCTGCAGAGCGCTTTAGCTTCAACTCTCCGCACAAACGATTGGATATGCGTTGAAAATGTATAGGGCCCCATTCCTATATTTTGCCTGGGGCCCCCAATTCACTAAATCCGCCCCTGCAAAAGGGTTCAGCTGACCAAAAACGTTTGGGGAACCCTGGTGTAAAGCAAGCAAGTTCCAGGAAAAACTATTAAAAGTAAGTATAACAATTGTACAGCAACAAAGATCTAAACAACGTCAAATGTTTTGCCATGTAATCATGAGTAATTGCTAAATTATGATGATTTACATAAAACCACTTCTGAAATGCTAACAAAAATTTCCAAAAGTTCCTTTTTTTGGGGGGGATATGGTACTCTATGGTATTCTTTGAAGTTAATACTATGGTACATGAATATGATATTCATACAGTTCAAACAATTCCATAACAGTAACATAATACTTGTTTTTTTTTTAATAAGTTAGTATGTTTGAAGGGCTTTCTATAAATAGCAGCTGAAGTGTCAGTGTGCTCTGAGGGCAAGCGTTCAGTAATGCAGGTCACCCAGTTACCACAGCTGATCCATGATCCGGGTCACAGCAAGACAAACAAACCCCACCAGACACAAACACACGCATCGACCGCATTCACTGGGGTTATGCAAAGATTTGAGCAGACAATCTGCGGTTTATTCACCTCTGCGTCTTTAAGACTGATGATGTCGATGTCGCACTGCTGTGCTCTGCTAACCAAATCAGCATCAAAGTTTTCGATGAGGATCAGGGTTTTGACTGTGTGCTGTCTGCCCGAAACACAGTCCAACAGCAGCTTGGCCTTCTCAGGTACGTCACATACGACTGTAGAGATACAGGCTGCAAAACACACACAAACATATGTAGTGATACAATAATAAAAAAATAGGAAAAACACCCTCTTGATCTTCACGCTGAATACTTAAAGTTAGAAATCCCTAAATCTAATAGTGACCTAGCAAACACCACTAAAAAGACAACAGGGACATCCTGTAAGACACATATCTGCATGCATACTAAATCAATGACTAATAAACAAACAAACTTAATCTAAATACACTATCTCAAGATAAAACTGCATGAAAAATTGACATACCTTTTTCGAGGATGTAGCCTATTGCTTCTGTGCCCAAGGTGTCATACAGAGGAACTGATATCAGAGAGTAAGTGTAGCAGGCCAGCTCTGAAATCGTCCACTGAAGAAAGATTTCTGACATTAGTGACACAATTTTTGCAATCTCGAAAGTTCGAAGATGAACTGCACAATGCACATTAAGGAAACACACACATTTGTTCATTGTAATCTGTGGGTCACACATTCAGAGTCCCAAATAGAGCAGAAACTCAAGACAGGGGATTTTAACATTGTCATTTCAATCTAAATTGAAATTAAAGATTAATTTTTATCTTTTAAAAGTGAAGTGTGTCATATCTGCACCATTACCAAACGGAATAGCAAATAATGCTTTAAAAACTCCCCCCCCCGCAATTGGTCATACAAAGACTCAAAAAACTTGTGCTACTAGATGAGAAAAAAAAATTTAATATAGAAATTTGGACCATTGACTATACAGTATCTACAATCTCAATTGGGAGTGTCAATGGTCCATTTGAGAGATAGGTGGCGGTAATGCACTGCGATCCGCCGTAAAGCAAGAAGAAGAAGAAGACGCGTCATGCGCCGGCTGTCGAGGTCGCGCTCAGGACAGTTCAGACATACTGTTTAGTTTCTTGCACAGTTTTCTCGTTTCGTGTCTTTACACATCAATGTATCGCCACGAGCCGCAGGGTTTAATTTGGTTTTGTTTGTGTATGTTTTTTGACTCTCAAAGCCGTGATTCCCATTCACTTCCATTATAAGACTGACAGACTGCAACGGTTTGAGTTAAAAATCTTCGGTTCTGTTCTACTGAAGAAACAAAGTCACCTACATCTTGGATGCTCTGGGGGTAAGCAGATAAACATCACATTTTCATTTTTGGGTGAACTATCCCTTTAATGTTAATTCCAACATTTACTAAAGCATTATTAAAATCAAAAGTTGTGCATGTTAACATTAGTTAATGCACTTGAATTAACATGAACTAACAGTGAACAACTGTATTTTCATTAACTAACATTAACAAAGATTAATAAATACTGTAATAAATGCACTGTTCATTGTTTGTTCATGCTAGTTAATACATTAACTAACATTAACTAATGGAACCTTATTGTAAAGTGTTACCCATATTTCTCTCCTGATTCAGACAAGACTTTCTTTACTGGAGAAAGCAATATTATGTATAGAGGACTCGTATTTAGGCCAGAAGCGACAATTTGAAGTTAAAAACGCATTAATTATGGATTTGTTTACAAACTTTTCACGTCGCAAGATGTTAATTAATGGACTGGGGTCGTGTGGATTATTGTGATGTTTTTTTCAGCTGTTTGGACTATCATTCTGACGGCACCCATTCACTGCAGAGGATCCACTGGTGAGCAAGTAATGTAATGCTACATTTCTCTAAATTCAGTGAAGAAACAACCTCATCTACATCTTGGTTGGTCTGAGAGTGAGTACATTTTTTCCGCAAGTTTTTAATTTTGGGTGAACTATTCTTTTAAGATGAATTATATTATTGATTTAAATCTGGTCAAAATCTAAACAAGTGTAAAGATGCATTTGGGTAATAAATCACATATTTAGTAGCTAACATTAACAAAGATTAATAAATACTGTAATAAATGCACTGTTCATTGTTTGTTCATGCTAGTTAATACATTAACTAACATTAACTAATGGAACCTTATTGTAAAGTGTTACCCATATTTCTCTCCTGATTCAGACAAGACTTTCTTTACTGGAGAAAGCAATATTATGTATAGAGGACTCGTATTTAGGCCAGAAGCGACAATTTGAAGTTAAAAACGCATTAATTATGGATTTGTTTACAAACTTTTCACGTCGCAAGATGTTAATTAATGGACTGGGGTCGTGTGGATTATTGTGATGTTTTTTTCAGCTGTTTGGACTATCATTCTGACGGCACCCATTCACTGCAGAGGATCCACTGGTGAGCAAGTAATGTAATGCTACATTTCTCTAAATTCAGTGAAGAAACAACCTCATCTACATCTTGGTTGGTCTGAGAGTGAGTACATTTTTTCCGCAAGTTTTTAATTTTGGGTGAACTATTCTTTTAAGATGAATTATATTATTGATTTAAATCTGGTCAAAATCTAAACAAGTGTAAAGATGCATTTGGGTAATAAATCACATATTTAGTAGCTCTGACCTCTGGTCTGTTCTGAGAGAAGATGCCGATGTAGGGGTCTCTGTCCTTCGAGTGTCCTTTGTGCAAAAATGCTGATCCCAAATTCTCTGCTCGCTCAATCACCTGATGAAGAGGAAATGACAAATAACTTAACCAAACCAGAAAAAACGACTTGTTAAATGCAGTTCACTGTGCACAGAGAGGAAGGAGAAATTAAAGCAAAAGATCCATATCAACCATAAACTTATTTCTTTAAATAGTTTAAAATCAATTCCAATTCAAAGAACTTTATTTTTCCATTAGGAACTTCATATGTTAAAGGTTATCAGTGCATGCATACAGTATCATGTGCAAACTATGTAGCTTATTAACAAGAAGCAAAGTGAGGAATGTAAATTTGACACTGCTTCAGCAGTTAAACAGGTTCCCATAAGCCCTTTTTACAGTTTGACCCACCTGTGCAAGTGCACCCTTTACAACCATACCAGAAACCTGCACTTAAGAGGTCTGAAATCCAAATCCAGCTTCTCTACAGGTGTGCGTCAGATGCACTGATTACATGACACACAGATGAGGCATTTTGAAAGAACATAATGTCTCGCTGTATGAATTACTTCACAGGTTTTACAGCATGCTAGATGTTAGTTATGTTACGTTTTTATGAAATCACCCAATGCACCAGGTAACTTATTAACTTGAGAGCTAAGACAACAGTAAATGTGAGCTATAATAAATCCCAAAGCTCAACAATAAAGATGGGCGGATGGTGTGGCGCCAGTGTGAGAGACGGGGCAGTTCTGCATTTGTACTCTTGTGTCTTCCGTTTTCTTTGATGGATTTAACATTGTGAATTCTGCTGATTTAAGTCACCGAGGTCAAGTTATTGAATAATATGAATTTAATACATTATCTGCACTCTAACCTTTAATTATAACCTTAACATTTAATAAGAAATCGAACAAAATTATTTCTAAATAAAAAATATAAATATGTTAAAATACAAATGCATGATTTCCAAATATTATTGCAAAATATGAATTTAATAAATTATCTGCTTTCTAATTATTGATGATAACCTTAAAGGAAACTAAAATAACCACAGCAGCATTAACAACAACCTTGAAATAAGAGCACGAGGTTTATCTGATAATCATGTAAGTAGGTTCGTTGCTATAGCAAACAGACTTCTGGCGCGTTTTCTTTCAGAATCATCATTCGCCGATGGAGAGGAAAAGTTAAATACTATAGCATTTTATTTTATGAAAATGAGATCAATAATTAAGTTTTCGCACTGAAAGAGAAGTGATCTCGCGCAGACGTGCCAGGCTATATCTGCAGCTAAACTGTATAAAAAGCAGAATGAACTGAAACGTTAATACAATAAACACAATAAATAAATAAAATCGTGCCAGAAAATGCCTAATATGGACAAAGGCATCGATCGCTGCAGCTAACCTGAAAAAAAGCAGAATGAACTGGTGAAACGTTAAGGCAATAAACACAATAAATAAATACAATTTATGAATGATGCAGTGCTAATTGACATATAATGTATTACAGTAGCCTACAGAAACTATAAAGTATATATTTCATATTTTATTTTATTACTCTGTGCAGACATTTGAAATAATTGTTTGTAGTATATAAAACCATCATAAAATTGCCATTAGGAAAAAATTATAGATTACAAATGATTGATTATTTCCAGCAGTGTATTTGATTTCTTATAGAAAATTCAAAGTAAGAGATAAGAAAATAATTCCTTGTGAAAAAAAAATATAATAATAATAATAATAATACATAAATATAAACATACATAACATAACATATACATACATAAAATTATTAAATTTGACATTTCTGCCACTTCTGAAATGATGGCTACGATGACAAACATTTTGTCAATGATGACAAAATGTTAGCCTATACATAATACTTTTAAAGCTCTTTTTTACATAAATTTCCACATATGCCATGTCATGCCATAGCATCATAACAATAGACAAAAGTGTTTTTTTTCCTAACCTATGGTTCTGTAACTATAAAGGCTGCTGTGTAATTTGCCCCCTGACTAAGCATTTAAAGAATTTAGGGGAAGCATTTAAATAATCCTGTGAATGCACTTTAAGAATGCGATGCCAAAGATTCACAGCCCTACCCGTGATATAAGATTTTGGCCATATTGCCCATCTAAAGGCAGGCGTACACGGTGCGATTCTGAAGGTCCGGAACGTCGTGAGCTCTGGCACATGTCACGATTGAGTTTATCCGAAAATCGTACGCTTGATTACTATTCCTGAGGAAAAACACGCCCTCCTCATTACCCTACGGACAAAGAAATGTAGAAATAAATAAATGTAGAAATGAATAAATGAAGAAATAAATACAATTTGAAAATACATAAATATAGAAATAAATACGTAAATAAATACATAAATGTGGAAATAAATAAAAGTGGAAATAAATAAATGTCTACATAAAAGAAAAATAAATAAAATGTGGGGGGAAATAAACAAATAAGGAAATAAAAGTATAAATAATTATTTTGCTTTTTACTTTTCTTCGCATATTTATTTATATATTTATTTATTTTACATTTTTACATTTCTTTGTATATTTTTTATATATTTTTTTTATTTATAATTTTGTCAGGTTTGGCATTCCATAAGTGGTGAGGTTAGTGAAAATATCAGAAGACTTACATAATTACAAAAGCATGTATCAATTACAAAAAGTATGGATTAAAACAGAAATATGGAATATATGGATATGGAAGCAGAAATATCAACCTACCTCTGAGTATGAAAGCCATTCATACGGCTGCTTTGGTTTTCTGGATCCCAGACAGGGACCGTTTTCTGAAAAGAAATATAAAGATATCACATACAGGCCAATTTGATTTTTTTTTTGTTGTTGTTATTTTTATATATTCAGCATCATGAGATATATTAATGCTGACCACTTTACCACAGGTTGATATAGCATTTCATTGCAAAATATAACTATATTATCACACAGATCTTTATATTAAAGGGGTCTTATGATGCTTTTTTAAAGATCATTATTTTGTGTATTTGGTGTAACAGAATATGTTGACATGCTTTAATGTTCAAAAAACACATTCTTTTTAAAATACTGTACATTACTGTAGGTCCTCTATGCCCCGCCTCTCTCAAACACTTCGTTTTCTACAAAGTCCCTCCTTCCGACAAGCACAGTCTGCTCTGATTGGCCAGCTAACCCAGTGCATTGTGATTGGCCGAACACAGCAAGCACTCGTCGGAAATGTAACGCCCCTTACCATAATCGCGAGCTTCAAGCTTTCAAAATAAATGTAAAGACAGTAAATAATGTCATTAGTTTTACCATCAGCTCAAGCCCAAAAGGGGAACAGTCTCGTGACAGACACAGTGATGAA